GACGCATTTTCGGATAAATTGGTATAAAAGCATGCCTGAGCTTTGAATATGCAGGCCAAAGGAAAAAACGGCTACCAATTTTTAGTTTTTTGGCCAATAATACGTAATTCTTTGACGCTTTTCCATAATGCTCTTAACAAATTTTTTCTTGCCGTTTTTGCCATGAAATCAAAACCGTAAAAAAGTATATATATCATCTTTTTTTATAATTAAGAATTTTTTAATTCCTTGATATATTAATAAAATAATATTCAAAAATTAAAAATTTAAATGCAATTAAATTATGCATTGAATGCGAGGCTCCTTTTGAATTAATATAATATTATCATATTTTTTAAAAAAATAATATCAATAATTATTAATTACAGATTAACATGCTGCGCTTCTTTTTTTTCTTTCGACTGCGGCTGTATTTTGATATTTTTATTAATTCAGAAATCAAAAGTGAATTTCGTGTGCATTAAATGGACTTTGACTGTAAATCACGACAAGTGGACACAAATTGTTTTTTTTTTTTTTTTTTTGGTGGCAAAAATATTTGCAAAAAATATTTAAACGCGCACACGTTGAGCTCGCCCATAAATATGCAATGACAACAAGAACAGCAACAATAGTGACTGCAACAACAACAAAAACGAGGAGTAGGAGTGTTTTGCGCGGGAGTGCACGACCGAGAGATACCCTGCGCCCAGCATCACGTAAGTTTAATTATATATAATTTTTATTATTATACAAGACAACGTTTAGTAAGATTAAAGCTATAGGAAATATGTCTGTATGGGAGGTAGGGAAAGTAAGGATAAGGATGTGAGAAATTTCATATACAAGATTATATGGCTCTGGGTTTGCCTTATTTTCCGAGAAAAACTTCTCAATGCAGACAAACAGACTCTTGGACAGAAAGATGAATATGTCCAAATAGACTCAGCTCTTTGATCTGATCCATAATATATATATGCTTGGAAGTTGCTTGCTTGTACACTTTCCACCCCTCTGCAATAGTTACAGGGTATAACAATAGTGACTACAACAACAACAATTATGTGAGAGTAAACAATTTGTTTGCGTTAAATGGCGAACAGCTGCGCAAATAACTGCAATTTACATTTACCGCATCCGTCGCATATTTTGCGCACTAAATAAACACATAAAAATGCAAAGGAATAACCGCAAGTGCAAATACACACACACACACACACACACACACACACACGCACACACTTACACAGCTACACATCTATTCAAAGTTAAACAATAAAAGCATTGCGCACATTTTATGAATTCATTATTGAATTACATTTATTGATATACAAAATGCTATGGCATCAATGTTGTCGCATTTTTCGCGCAGTGTATTTTCCGTTTGGCAAAGTTGTTGCAAATGTTAAATGTCAACTCGGCCGTAGCACGGCTTTCACAGCGCTGTAAATGTTTGCGCACTTTTCAGGGCCAGACTTCTGCTATTTCGTGTTTGCCACAGCTACCAAATTTGTGTGTCTGTGTGTGTGTGTGTGTGTGTGGCCGAATGTGTGTGGCTGTGTGTGTGTGTGTGCCCCACTAGTTCTATTTGTACACTGCGGCAGGCAGCTGCACGCCGTGGCCATGTGGCACTGCCTTTGAAATTGCACATTGCGACTCATTTTCAAACAAGTCGCTGGACACACACACACTTGCACACACACACACACACACACTCGTACACACACACATGCCTGCATTTGTGAAACGCCATTTTGACTTATTCAACATGCGTTCACGTCAACGCCAAATGAAAATGGCAACTGCAACTGGAACCTTGATGACAGCAGCAACATTTCCTGTTCACCTTCAGCTGCTGCAAATTAAAACATGAAGCGGCCCGTATATATATATATATGTATATATACTATATAGCATGTATTTGCAGTTTATTTTAGCGTGCCTCCGTTAATTTAAGCTAGTGCTGTTTGCTTTGTCAGTCAATCCAAAAACTGGCACAGCACATGAGCTCGCCTGGACAACTGTCTGCCTTACCCAAAACCAAAAGATTTGTCTATATATATACTGATTTAGTTAGACAGATTTAGAAGCAACTAAAGCAGGAAACTAATAAGCATAAAGTATAAGGCGTATAGTTAAGTATACAGTGCATAGTATATAGTATATTGCCTAAAGCTGAAACCAAGTTCAACTCGCGCTTCGAACCCATGCCTCGCCCTAAACTTTGATGCGCGAAGCTGGTTAACAAAGCTGTAAAATTTAATTTGCTTATTAACTTAACCAGCATAAGGATAAGCTCTTGATAGTATTTTAATTTCGTGTTCAAGTCCGTGGCAGAAACAGTTTCCAAAGCTGGCTTGAAAAGCCTTTTAATCAAAGTTCTTATTAAATATTAAATACATTTTTGCTTTTAATTAATCGCGGACCTGAAGACAGCTAAACTAAAATTTATCTTAATATAATTTTATAAAATATATTAATCTAATCTAATAAATTTAATAAAAAAAATGATTTTTATAAAGAAATATCCTTAGCTACTTTTTAAGATATCTTCACCAGCGAACGAGAGAAAGGAAAACTTTTTGTTTTTTTAATAAGCCAACTAAAACAAATAAACGCATGCAAGTTTTCAAGTATGTACATTTAAATAAAATGTGTTGAAAACAATGAGCACAAATTAAAGAAAACAAATAGTATTAAAATAATATTTTGCGTGCAACAACTACAAAAGTATTTGTTGTTATTTTTCTATTTATATATTTATTATTTCTTTGTTCGTCTTTTACTTATGCTCGCAGTTGCGGGGCTTTTGAGTATTTTCCAATTACGAGCGACTTAAGCTACAGAGTAATTTCTGTTTGCCTTTTATTGCGCAACGACAAGTAGCTTTTAGCAAAATGAAATGCAGACACACAGAGTGTGTGTGTGTGTGTGTGTGTGTGATAGATAGATGGACAGAAAGTGGGAGGGGTAGGGCAGGTGGCAGGTGGCAAGCAAACGGCAAACGCTGCAACAATTTGCAGCGGCAAATTGCATTTGGAAAGCATTTCATTTGGAAATTACAAAGCAGGCAGAACACAATTGCCAGCCGCAGTCGAAGACAAACGGGAATGGCTGGGAATCGAAATGAAAATGTAAATGAAAATGAAAATAATAAAAATGACGTTGATGTTGATGATAAAATGCGTTTAGGCGTGGACGTCCCGTGGCGGCAGCCTGTGTGTGTGTGTGTTGAGGTGTGCGTGTGCGTGTGTGTAACTGAAGTGGTCGCCTTTTAGGCACTGCAACTGAATGAATGAGTCCATCTGCGGTTGCAGCACACACACACACACTCACACACGCACACGTAACTGACATTTGCAACAAATCCATGTGTCAACTGCAACCGCAACAACAACAAGACGACCCTGAACAACAATAACAAGCCCTTGCCATACAAAATATATATATATATATATATATATATATATATGTTTTTTGGTTTCAAAGCATATATGTGCACATTTTTTGTATGCCCTAACATAAGCTCATTGTCAACTGGCTGGGCAGAAAACAAAACCAGTATGCTACACTTTTCTGCTGCAACAAGAACTCGACTATTTTTATGGCAATTCGATTTTATGCTTACATCTGACAAAAAGTTTTCTTTTGTTTATGCAGTTTTTTTTTGTTTCTTTTAGTTTTTAGAGCCTTATTTTAACAGATTCTGTTTTTTTCAACACTTTGTCATATAACTTTTTGACAAGCCACACAAAATTGAACTGTAAAATGTGAGCTTACAGAATTGAGCTTCTGCTTTTTGGAACTTTATCAACATTAACTACATTTGCTACTATGCTAATATTGACTCTTGATTCTCATTTATTATATTTATAAATTTATATTTTTTGAAAAAAAATCAAACTTAACTATAGTAAAACCAGGAGCAGAGCGCCTCCAATTTTCCATTTCTTATTCATTTCTGGCCTTTGTTTTCTGTCACTTCGAAATGAAGCTAGTTTTTTTTAGTTCCCACACTGACAAGTTTTTTATTTCATATGCTGTTAGAAGTTGCAATTCGACAAAACCTTTATATACACTTTTTGCGGTCCATGGACAGGGGCATAGAACAACAAATGCAACAACAACTGCGGCTTTCATGGCAGCGTCTGCGTTTGCGAGTGCCTGCAGCTCGTTAGTTTGTCATCGTGTGTGGATTTGCTGTGTGTGTGTGTTTGTGTGTGTTACTTTTTTCTAACACTCGCGTTTTTTATACATTTATATTTTAAAAGCCTGTGCGAAGCAGGAATTGAAAATGAAATTTTGTGTCAGTGTTGCGGAAAGTACGAGTTTTCAGTTAGTTCAGTGTATGTGTCTGTGTGTGTGTGTGTGTGCGAGAGTGTATAGAAAGTTGGCGAGCCAGACAACAAACAACAAACACACACACATGAGCATATGCAGATGGTTTGGTGCAGGCAGAGCGGTGTGGTTGGTGGGCTGGTGAGGCTGAAGGGCTTAGGGCTTAGGGCTACAAGTGTTTAGCTGCCGTTTGGCTGGACCAGAAACACTCGAGTGGGCTGCGTTTGGGTGGCGCGCATGCTAAGCGGACGACCTTGCCGCGCGAGAAATGAGCAAACGGCAGGTCACAGGCTGTAGAACGGGACATATTTGGTAAGGCCAGGCCTTAAACAATTCAAGCGCAATTAGCTCGCGAATTGCGATTGACACAGTCATCGAAAAATGTGCGTGGGGTTGGCAGCGCATGACAATGAAACTTTTGTCACGAAATTGAAATTCCGCGCGTGGCAAAATTTAAAGAATTTCAATTCTGAAACAAAGCCCGCAGCCTAAATTGGCGAAGAAATTCAAAGCGACTAAAACAAAAAGCGCGGCCCGACAGCAATTAGAGCCGACGGCGGGCTGTCAGTGCGGACGGGGGCCGCACACAAATTAAATTTAATTCGAAATTAAATGAGAATAAATTGGATTATTTAATTAAAACCAGAAGGTGGGCGGTATAAGGGGTCTGGCCCCACACTCACCTTGCAGCAGCGGCAGCAACAGCAACAGCCAGTTGAGTAATCCGAAATTGGCTACGGACCAGGCCGACATTGTGCTTGGCCTTGTTATCCCCGATGCCGTTTTTTTTTTCCTTTCTGCTGTTTTTTTTTGTTTTTTATGACTATTTTTTATTGTTATGATCGCTGTCAGTTGTAGTTGGTGCGGTCTTTTGGCTGACTTGTTAACGCTTTGCGTCCAAATTACACAGACCGGGCCAACAACGGTTTAGGCCAGGCCAGCAGCAGTGGGCTTTGAGTTAAGCGCTCGCACGGGACCAATAACAAAATGAGTCGCTATCTTTTTAAATTGTCTCCATATATATGTGTTTATCTATATATGAAATCTCTTTTTAGTCTATTTGCGCTTTTGCTTTTTGCCTGCCGCGGCAGCTATGATATTTTATTTTTTTTTTTTTTTGGCGTTTTCGAGCACTTTTGCAAAACTTTTGTTTGTATTTTGTTTGATTCGTTTTTGTTTTAGCCCAATTGCTGTAAATTCAATTTGCTTGTTTTGCTTTCAATGTAATTTGTTGTTGTTTTGCTGGCCGCAACAACAAGAGCAGCATAAATCATACGCCATGTGCACCGCCCCTCAAAGTATGCAACACTTACAACACTGTGTCACACACACACAACACACACAAATACGCGCACACACACAGACACACTGACAATTGTTAGCTTTTATTTTGTGTTTTTTTCTTTCGTACTTTTTTTTTTGCAACTCGGTTTTGGTTTTAGATAACAAAGTAGGCGCCAAGTAATTTATCTTGTTGCTGGCGGCTTAGCACTTTCACTTGACTTGAGCCCACGCTCAGCGGCGGGTGGGTGTGGCCAGGGTGAAAATGTTTTTGGTTTGGCAAGCAGTCGCCCTCCCTCTGCACATTCGACTGTTGCGAATAACGCTTGATGGAATGCCAGCGATTTGTTGTTGTTCTTCTTCTTTTTCTTCTTCGACAACTTTCACTTCGCTTTGCGCTGAATTATGCATGTGTTTATTGCCGCCTAATCACATATCATTAACTGGCCATTAACACGCACCGTTTGGCCCAGCAGCCCATTAGACTTCAGCTCGCAACACTGTTCAGCTACTGTGCGCATTTGGCAACACTTGCTCAGCAACGACGCACGCACAATAGTTAAACGCACACACAATATACGCGTGCTTCGCACTCGAGTCGCAGGATTGAACTGACGGCGCGATGTCGCCAGCCAGCTCGCCAATCGTGTGCATCCAGCACGAGCAAGTACGAAGACACGAAGCAGCTACGCCTTCGGCTCGCAGCAGCAGCAGCAAATACGAGCTAGCTAACGAAAAAGAGCGCCTATCAACTTTCTCTTTGCTTCTTCTGCTGCTGCTGCTGCTGCTCTGACGATTGCGGTTGTTGTTGTTGTTGTTCTTGCTGGCAAAATTATTGGTGCACGAAATTGCAGCCGCACTTTGGAGCACTCTCTGAGTGCTTGTGCTCTTACATTCTGCTGCTGTTATTGTTGTTATTGTTGAAGATGTTGTTTTTTGCTGCATCTCGCCGCAGCTGTTGTTGTTGTTGTTTAATTTGTTGATATGTTTATGCGCTTGTTATGGTCGGTTTTATTTTCCTCACATCTAGCATGCTTTTATTTTATAATTTATAAGCATTTATAAACATTGCTAAAAAGTTATCAATTTATGTAAATTTCATGTTAACCATGGTCCACAATGTTAACTTTTATTAACAGTTCTGTCTAGAATATTACAGCTCATAAATAAATAAATCCTTAATCACATAAATTCGCATATTATTATGCTAGAGCTTATAAATAATCAAATTAATCGAATGCAATGAATGAAGAGAATTCATAAATTCAGCCTGAGCTAAAGCGTTAAATTAATGTAAAGGTTAACAGCTACGAATGTGAACAGTTTTTTTTTTGGAATTTTAAATGCATAAAATAAATATTTTTAATTGTAATGCACTTAAATTTCGCAGCAAAAAAAACTATTTTCCTTCTTGGCTGCCAGTCTTTAGATTACTTAATCGCTTTAGTTCGGGCATAATTTATAAGTTCTGTTCACCTTCAGCTAACTGTACTTATTAACAGTTAGTCCAAAAACTGACCGCCTCAATTAGGCAGCGCTGTAAAATGTTAACTAAGCAACTATGCCATGACCTAGGTCAGTTAGCGGCGTATAAGAGTATAAGAGCAGCAGCAGCAGCAGCAACAACTCTTATACAGCCGCAGCATAAGCTTTGCCTAAGAGAAAATTTCCCCCAAACTGCAAAGCAAAACTCCTGCTAGCTAAAGGCGAAAAAAATATGCAGTTTTATTAAATGCTTGTAATTAGCCGGGGCAGTTCCGGCTATTTTATTTGTATTTTTTTCTTCAATTTTTTGTTGTTTAATTTTTGTTTGTGTTTTCATTGCAGCCAAATGGACACACACTGTTAAAAGAGGGGAAAGATTTTCAATCAATTTGCAAAACTTTTTAATTACAAGTCAATTTCATTTGAGCAAACAAACAGATAATTCAGTTCACAGCTGATATAGTAGACCACACACACACACACACACACACACACACGAACACAAATGCTTAAATCAATTAAATTAATTAGCGCCACGAAATATTTGAACGATGCAGCGATAAGGCTGCAACTTTTTGTGCGCTCTCTAGTTTTTTTTTTTTTTCATTCCACCAACAATATTTAATTAATTTGCCCAAACAATTTCAATTCTCAATTAGCTGCCTGATAATGTGTTTGTGTGTGTGTGTGTGTGTTGTCTATTATGCAATTGTGTTTTAAATACCCTGTACTTTTTTCAAATGCTTAAGAAGCGTACATTGCTGCACGAAGGAAGCATCAGCCACTACTTAATAATATAAATTCTTGATCTTTATTAAAATCTTTATCAATATAGACATGTCTGTCTATCTAAATGCGTCCTTTTTATAGACCCTAAGAGCTATGAGGACTGTAAGAGTCTGTGGATGCCTGCCTAACTTACCCGTTCATTACAAATGGCTAAAAAGCAAATGCAAATATCAGGCAGAAGGAAGCATCTCCGACCCCATTATATATATATATATTCTTGAACAGTCCGTATGTATATATGGGTCCTCCTATTTCCTGCGCAGTACGTATTTTTTTTTTCGACAGTCGATAGATTGCCCTGTGTGCAAGCAATCGATAAAAATAGCTGTCGAAATCCTGTGTTTTTATCGAATCTCTCAGGTCTTAAGAGCTAGAGTCTTCAAACTTGGCATGCAACTTCTAGAATAGTAGCTTATCAAGGATCTTTCATTTTATAGCTATCGCATAGATGAGGGTTCAGTGTTTTCCCTAGTCCAGCACTCTCGCATAGAGCCTAATACCGTCATACAAATATGAATGTTATCCTTAATTTTCTTTTACACTTAAGAGTGCATTAGCAAAAGTACGTAAGAGAAATATGTGTTAATAGCAATAGCTTGCAGCTAGCTACAGGGTATCTGCCAGTCGAACACACTATTCCAAATAAATCTTACTTATATTTAACGTATAAATACGCTGCCAAGGCCGAAGATAAAAACCAATACCAAGGCCAAAGCAAATATAACAAGTTCTGCCTGGACACGGACTTAGACTAAAAGCTAGCCCCTGCTGTCCAGTGTACTTATTATAGCCGCAATTAGCGCCCAATTTTTTTCTTTTTTTTTTTTGGCGTCGGGCACGTGTCAATCGTATGCCAAAGCGTTGCCCAACGCCGCTTACACGCAGCCAGGCCATGGCTAGGCCAAAAAAATTACAGTCAGCGGCAAAGCGGAGGCAGTAAACTTTTTAATTGAAACAATTTGTAAAAAAGCAACCGAAGACAACAATAACAACACGACGAGAAGCAGACAGCGTAACAAAGTTTCAGCTGCTTTTAATCTTGGCCAGCGGCTAGAAAACTGCCTAAGTCTCGGCTCTGTCTCAGTGCACTGAGAGAAAAAAGCTGCTCAAAAGAATTAAGTTGTTATCTAAGTTAAAGCGGGTAACAGCTTAAGCTAAGCACAAAATTTTTATTTGAAGCATTATTCTTTTAAGTCGAAGCAAGGCTCAAATATCAAGCCTTGTCTTAAATATGTTAAAACTTCGTTAGAGTACTTTTAGCTTAATTGAAGATTTTATTGCAGAAGCAATCAGTTTTAAAATTGTAGAATATTTTAATTCGAATTATACGAAATAAATATATATATAAGTTATTCTTTTTCTTATCTAAAGCTGATGTTCTACACTTCGAACTGGGTTTTTTGTTCGAGTGCACCTCCTGCTGTCTTCAGTCTGTTTGTTTTTGTCGGTTTGCGTGACTCCCTTATTGAATTATTCGGCTGCTTTAACACGATATCGATAGCGTGTACCGTTAACGTATTGATCCCGGGCATCTATATATATATATAGATAGACAAGGAAGTCGCATAAATTTGCGGCATTTGGCAAATCATTATTCGAATCAGCGTCGCACGCGCCGCGCGCACAATTGGATTTCGACGGGCACAAAACAAATCAAAAATCTATTAAGAGCCCAGCATACCCTCTCCACACGCAAAGCTCCCTCCCCGTCATCGAGCAATATCCAACACTCAGCCAGATTTCTTGCGGTCACGTGTCGCACGAATTGCAATGATATCGCGCGACGTTGTTGACACTGGCCAAAGCGAAGCACCGCAGCTGAGGGTTGCTTTGGGCTTTGCCCTGCGATGGCTTCATTAGAGTGCAGCTACCCTACCGCCAGTCCAACCCGACTCCCGCCTACACCACCCGCGCAGTAAATCGTCTGTCGAAAGCGAAAGTGATGACCCTTATGCCTATGAAGGGTCATGAAGGGTTGTTTGGGCATTTTTGCTTTTTTTTATATACTGTTTACCCAGTGAAAGTGTTTGAAAGTAAAAAGGCAGTTTGCAGTTCAGCAGGTGCAATAGGCAGAGTATCTGCTAGCTCATAGATGATATACGTTCTATATAAGGTCTTGAATCGATTTAGAAAAAGTTTTCTAAACTCTTGTTCGTCGATCTTAGCACTTTTCAGTTCTAGGAGTCTTTAGTGAGCGCATTCCTAATTATTTTAAATTTTTTAGGATTCTCAAAATTGATAAATACCGTTTAAATTATTTACCAATATCTAACAGCCTAAACATATTATTTTAATTAATTTGAAACATATGCATATCAAGTTTCTTACAATTTTCGATAGCCAGCCCTTTTTTCGATAACCAATAATTATCGATAAATATTCCATTCTGCCTTTTGAGAAATTGGATTGCATGAATCACACTTAGATGTATACAAATTTATTTCCATATTTCGAATACTTTCAGATTTGGATAATATCTGAACATTTGAATATGTTTGGATAATGATTAAAACAGGAATTTTTCCTATTATATTGCTGGGTAAGTACGCCAATTTTTTTATTTTTGTAGGATATTTAAAAAAGTGTAAATTTGTTTCTTGAAATTTCGGCTCCATCTGCAGGGTAACAAGCTGTCGAGCACATTCGAGACTGGAGCTGCTCTTAGGTTTATTTTATTTATTTTTTTTGCCATCACAAGTGCCATTAATTGAAATGCCAAACAGCAGCTGTTAACCACCTTCCCCTCCCCCCTTTATCAACCCGCACAACGCGCCTCAAGTGCTCGTCAGGGGGGCAACGATGCATGAGATATGTGTGTTTGTTCGTGTGTGTGTGTGAGTGTGTGTGTGGCACATTTGGACTTGGCGACTTAACAGATGATTCTCGCAGCGCACCTGCCGCTTGGCCAGGTGGCATGTGGCACAGAGCCGAGGCCCTTAAAACAAAAGCAAGGCAAGAAAACAAAGGCTGGCAAGGCAAAAGAAGAGAAAAATAAAGCAAAACAAAGCTCAAGAAATGAGCGGCAAATGCAATAAAAACCAAAACCCGCATAATTTAACACGAGTGCTCACAAGTGTGTGTGTGTGTGCGTGTGTGTGTGTGTGCACAGGCGTCTCAATTATTTGTTTGTCCTGGGATTTTGCGGCACGCAACGCAAGAGTCTGCCGCTGCAAGTGCGTGCGTTGGCCAAGTGGGCGGGCGGCACATGCCCCATTTTATTGTGGCAAGTGGCAACAAGAGGCAGCAGGCAGCAGGCAGCAACAACATGCGACATTAACATTTAAAACAATTTTCAATGCTGTAAAAATAACTGTAAAAATTTCAGGGTCGCAAACAACAACATCTACAACATTTCCTATTCATTTGCGTATGTGTGTGTGTGTTCTTGTGTGTGTGACACTTCAACACGCCTGCATACTTAATACAAGCAACAACAACATTTGCCTTCGGCTTCTGCTGCTCAACCCAGAGCCAACCCCACAACCAGCCCCAAACCCAAACCCGACCCCAACCTCCGGTTTGCCAAACCCTCGACTAGCTTTTACTAAAGCCACACAACAGTTTTTCTTATCGCTCAAATGTCATCGGCTGTCGACGGTTTTGGGCCGCAATTTCGGCGTGCCCGGCCACGCCTCTCGCTCCAGCCCCGCATCCTGCTTCCGGCCTAAGGCGTTCATTTGTGTAATCCTGACCATGCCCAGAGGCGGCACTTGCGGCATTTAGTTTGTAATTTAGCGCATTTAGTGCCACATTGCCAAAGAGCGCAAGCGAATGTGGGGAAGAAAGAGAGTGTGTGAGAGGAAGAGGGCGAGTCCTGTCGCCAGGATTCGAATTGTGGCTCCTTTGGCTCCGGTTGCGACTCCAAATGTGAAACTCCGAATGTTGTTTTCGCTGCTTTCAGCACATGAATATCGCATGTGAAATACTTAGCAGCTAATTTGTATGCATATGTCTGTGTCTGTGTCTGTGTGTATGTGTGTGCTTGTGTGTATATGTGTGTTGGTAGCGAACACAGTGTCAGCTTTAATTGCTTTTTGATTTGATTCTCAAGCTTAACCATTCTCAGATTTATTATGTGGCTCCACCAAGAAAACAGTTCCATCTTAAAACCATGTTTATGGTATGGGGATTATCATTATAATTAATGTAATCATATTTGTTTCTCTCTATTTACATTCTATCTATTTAGCTTTTGCTCTCTTTTCTACTGATCTCTTTTAATGCATTAACATGTGCATGCCCTTTATACTCTTTCTAATGCTGTCTCTCTATCCCCCCTTTTCCCTCTCTGCCATTACTTTGAACAGAAAACAGAAAGAGTCTGTCCTTTCATTATATTACTTTCTACGTGTGTATCCCATGCTTCTTCTTTCCCTCTACGTTTCTTTCTCTGCATCCCTTTGTCTCTCTACCCCTCGCTTTCTCTCTCTCCGACTTTGTTAGTGTTTCTGAGTCTTTCAGCGATATCTATCCTTTCCTCCTTTCCATAACCCTCTATGGTTGTTTATCTTTTTATGTCTTCACCCCATGCTACTTCCCTCTCTCTCTCTCTCTTTCTTTCACTCTCTCTCTCTCTGCTTTCTCTGTAGCTATCTTTTCGTCTATGACTGCCTTTCCAAAATTCACATATATCTGATATAACCATGTTTACGCTCTATTCTCTGTGTCTCTCACTCTCTCTCTCTCTCTCACTCTCTCCCTCTCTCTCGCTCTATCTTTGTATATCCAACAATTTAACTCAGCTGTCAGCAAAATTAGTATTTCCTATATTTGCTTCCTACTCTCTCCCTATTGAGTATGCAACTCCAAAAGAAAATCTAAAAGCAACTTTAATATAGCCCAAAACTGAAATCATTCTTTAACCAAATCAACTCGACTGCAAGCCAATTGAAAATAGCTTTTAACGCATTAGCATAAATAATTAATGATAGCTAATGCAATAGCCATTTGGCCATCAGACCCCAGCACCTGCAGTTGGCCCAAGAAAAAGAAAAGCCCAAGCCCAAATATTGGGTTAATATTGTGGGCCTAATGTCATGTTTCCCGGCAGCAGTAGCTGTTGCTGGTGGGAACAGTATTTGGGGGTCCTTTGGCCACATAAATTTCTCATCAAAATCAATGGCAAATCAAAATGGGATGCCGCAGGATGTGCGACAAGGATGTGTGCGTGCGTTGTCCAGGAACTGCGTTGACATTGCCCAGTGTTAAAGTTAATAAATTGCGGCCAGGATTTATGGGCACGGCCATTGAACTGTGCCGGCAATGACATTTCAATGTTTACATAAGCCGTCTGTTTGTTGCTCCGTGCTTCCGTGTAAGTGTGTGTGTCTGTGTGAGTGTGAGTGTGTGGCCAGCCAAGGGGTATGCGTGGCTGTTTGCATTAATTTATATTTAGCTGTGTGTGCGTGTGTGTGTCCAAGTGTGTCTAGGCATGACACTGCAAATGGTGACATATGCATTGGCTAAAACCTTTTACATTGGCACCCACAAACACCCGCCGCCACCCCAACACCCCCGCTCTACCTCTCCAGTCGCCTATCCACTGCCTTTTGGGCTCGTTTTGATGAAATCAGCCATGCGAGAAATTCAATCAAGCTTTCGTTATGTGCACTGAGCGAAAAACACAACATACAAACTACTTCTATGCCTGGGTATAAAATTCAATTGCCGTTTCTCATTGAATTTCAAGTATGTTTACCGCTTGCATATGCTTAAATTAAGTAGAAAATATACTTGGATTAAGTGCAAAGTGTTTTTTGCTGGAATTACATATCTATTGGTTTAAGGATTTCGAATTTGAATATTTAAGTAAATACACTACAAATTATCAAACAAGCAGACTCAAAGCTCAGCATATAATGTGAATTGAGTAATGCAAGTAAAAAAAGCCTAAAACATTTGCAAAGGAAGCACAACAATTTCTGGAATTAAGTGCTGCACTTAAGTCTTGTGTTTGGAAGCTTCGATTGGGGAAAAAGTTCCTGAAATAAATGCTTACTTAGGAAACTCGCAGCTAGCCCGGCTTTTGACAACCATTTTTTTTCACAAATCCCTTGCACTCTTCTGTCAGTGTAGTTGGCTAACTTTGAAAGGCTTTTAGGCCTGCCCCATTGTCCGTTTTATTATTTAAGACCACACTCGAAATGCACATGTCATGCGATCATCATGGCACGTGCCACGCCTAGTTCGTGTTTAATTTAAACTTTAATGGACTAAAGCCCTAAATTAATAAATATCGATTAAAATTTATTCGGGCAAAGTAGACGAGGACCTTTTTACCGACGTCCTGCCATTTTCCGCGTAGCCTGCGCTGCGTCGATGTCGCAGAACGGCTCGACCTCTGTTCACCACGATGCACGTGAGTCCGTTGCCGCCCGCGTCCGCATAATCGGAGCTGATATAGTCGTCCACCTGGCGCTCCGCCGCCGAGCTGAAGTCATCAGCATCGTCATCCTCATAATCGTAGACATCATCATTGACATCCTCATATTGATCGGAGCTGCGCCCCAGCTGCTGCTGGTCGCCGTCCAGGCTGCGACTGGCGAAGCAGACTTCCTGCGTGGTTCCCCCGTTGCCGCTGCCAGTATTTGTTGTTGTGGTGTTTAGGGAGTTGATTAGATTGGTCACATAGGCCGCTGTCTCGTTGGAGGTCAGCAGATCGAAAATCAAGGCGCCGCCCAGGCCGTTGGCCAGGCCCAAGGCATAGCCACCGAGACCGGCAAAAGCTGAGGGCGTGGCACGGCCCATGGGCGCCAGCTCAGCGTCTGGGAGGCCCGCCTCAGTCAAGGCGCGACGCAGCTCTTGCGGCGACAGCGGGCGCAACGTCAGACGACCCGCTGAAAGGTTTACAGAAGCAAGTTTAAAAGCCGAGTACAAAATAAGTTTGAAAGGCCGATTAAAGCCAGGCCTATTAAAAGTTTTAAAGTTAAGTGTAAACTACGTTAAAGAACAAGTCAGAACTGACTAAAGTTAGGCTTAAGGCCAGGGTAAAGGCAGTCGAGTTAAAGGCCTGGTAACAGCCAGATTTAAGACCAAGTTTAAAGTCGGAATTAATGCAACATTAAGGCCAAGTTAAAATCCATGTTATGTTATAATGGCAGCACTTAGAGTCGGACTTAAAGCCTCAAAGTCAGGTTATTATTCGAGTTGAAACTGAAACTACTGAGCGTCAGTCTTTAAGTTGGGTTTGTTTAAAGCCAAGTTGGTATTCAGTTGGTGGCCGCTCAAAGCCATGTTTAATACCTTACTTAGGCCAAATTGATGGCAACTCCTCAAATCCACTCACCAGCAACTGTTGTCAGCAATGAACTTAGACCGATCAGGGCAATGGCCCAAAGTGCTGTTGGCGTTTTCATGGCTCAGACACAGAAAGAAGCTGTTGACCGCGAATCGCGCGCGTGTTAACTGAAACCAATCGCCAGGTGCTGCGCAACTTTTATGGCCAAGAACCCACAAAGAAAGTCGACGAAAAGCCGCCCGTTTTGCATATGCAAAATTTGAGACAACAACGTTTTACACTCGCTTGACCCTTGACTGAGCCGCGACCGCAAATGGGCCAACGGCCAGCTGTAACCGGTTCTGGGCACGAAAATCAAAGCTCGTCTTCAAACTTTATCTAGAAAACAAAACAATTTAATATATTTAAATGCGCAGCGCTGGTTGTGTCATCAGCAGCCGTTGGGCTGTCTGTATCTGTGTCAGCAGATGTAGCTGTAACTGTATCTGTATCTGTATATGCAAATGTATCTGTATCTGTATCTGTGACTAAATCTAGTTGGCGACCCGCCTCATTGTAGACCTCATTCCCGTAGCTGCGTCCGCCGATGCACACCTGTTGTTGTTGTTGTTGTTGTCGTTGTTGTTGCTCTCCGGCGTTGTCCGTTTCACTTTCGCTCACATTCGCTGTTATCACATCGTAGACAAACACGCCCATCAATGCCTGGCTCAGGCCCAGCGCATAACCGGAGAGTGCAGCGAGTCCGCTTCTTACAGAGCGTCCAGCTTCCTGCTGCTCCTGTTGCTGCTGCTGCAGCTCTTGAATCTGCTTCAACTGTCTGCCTAAAATTGAGCACAAAATGTTTCAGTTGATATATGCCTTAACTCATTTCGTCAGCCAAATTTACCTGTAACTGTTGCCATCAGGTCAAAGCTGACAACGCAAAGCAGCAGAGTTAGCCGCGGCGGCATCTTCAAGCATTTGCAGCTCTTCTGGCCGAGAATACGTAATTTATATGGCAGCCCGATTTTTGAGAATTCATTTGCAGCTTCATTAATCATAAAGCAGAGCTCCCGCTTGTAAGCCTACAATTAATAAAATTCCCCCCTAGAGAGAATATTTTACAACTTTCACGTTTGGCAGAACTAAAACTAAGCACAAAAATGCCAGTTTACGACTATGGTATACCCTTTCAAAATATGTGATATGCTATAGCAATATTATTAAAAATAATAACAATAATAATTACAATAATAATAATGCTAAATAATAATAATAATTAAAACAATATTATAATAATTAAAATAAAAACAAATAAATAAATAAATATTAATAAATAGACTGAGGTGAACTAAGATTATAAAATTTATAGAGTATCATCCAAAACGTAAAAACAAATTGATTTCGATCAATGAAACCGATTCTAATTTATTATTTGAAGAAGGGGCTACATTTAACTGAGCTTGAGGGCATTTTAACTATATTTATAATATTTATTAATTAAAAGTCGCTAAATTCATGTATAAATGTATAAACTCAAGCATCTTATGTAGCCGTAGGTCAAAATATCCCGCCTCCGCTAGTTCAATTCGGCTTCTTAATCTGGCCATACATCTATTTATCATTTATATATATATATATAGATTTCGACCTGCAAGAAGATTCAACATCTTAATGCTGAGTGTGTTTAGTTAACGTAATATATAATTGGCAAAATATTTAAGATATATTTTTATATGTGTTTTATTATTGGCAGAAGAAGCTGTTCGCAGCTCTATAAGGTCTTTCAACATTGTAGTCACGGCATTGTGTAAGGTTCTTTTTGGATCCCTCCTTAAAAGGGGGTCTAATATACTTAGTTGCCATTTGTTCTCCATTTGTATTGATAAATTGTCTTTTGAGGCAACTCGAGTGCTGAGCAAGTCGAGAGGTTTCTCGACCCTTGACTTTTACCTACCCACCTATTGTGCCTTCTTATATAAGTCACAATTTTGGCTATCATTGAAGACCTTTCAAAGAAAAGAAAACCTCTTGTTCTTTTTATTTGTTTGGCAAACAAAAATATTAATATTTGTGATTGCAGTGAGCTATGGCAAACGGAAACCGAACCATGTCAAAAGGTAACAGCCCTCCACCCTCCCGCACCCCGTGCTCCTCGTTCCCTCGTTGCCATACGAGCATTTTCCTGCTTGTTAGCATCCTTTTTTTTTTTTTTTTTTTTTTTGGCTACTTATAAGCTAACATTTGGCTTTGTTGCAGTTGCAAGTACTTATTAAGCCATAAGCCGCTTTCATGGCCAGACACTGCACGAGTTCTTAACTGGGTCTAGAGCCGTGCAGCATATTGTATATCCCATTTGAGTGGCATCCCCATTATACCCCTTCGCCCTCCCTTTGGGACGTTGCATTTTTTATTTGGCCACGTACAAGTTTCGGTATAGCTGTTAACTGCTGCATAAAAACTTTTGCCCGCCAGCTTTGTCAGGCGTTTCGGCTTTTATAACGCAACGCCTTTAAGCCAATGTTTCGTCCGCGTTGCGTCTGCCAATTGCCAAGGCATTTCAAACTTTGGCCGCCCCCAAGCAAGGGCGTGGCAATTGGGGCGTTGTGGCAGACAAAGTGTCAGGCGATGCGCTGTCTCTTTGGCCGCATAAATAACAACAAATAAAAGTGTTTGCCACGCACTGGGACACAACTGTACAATACTCTGTTTACAGTGTGAAAGGGAAATGACTTTCAAACTGTCGGACTGTGACTCTCAAACTGAGGCTAGAATGTGCTGTCTTGAATAACTTTTAGTCCGATCTGCATAAAATGATCAGAGCATGAATATTGGATAGAAAATAACGTGTACAGCAAGGCGCAAGGCTTTACCCTGGACAGGAAATTTTAGAAAAAGGAATTCATTCAAAAAGTACAAGATTCTTATTATGTATATGCATAGCTCTCTAGCTTTTGTATTTTTCTCCAGCCTTGCGAATGAGAAACTATATTTGCTGCTTTCTTCCTCAAGTTACATACATTTGAAAAATTTCTGGCTGGCAATATGCCCGTTTAAACAAGTTGTGTACAGCGTATTGAGAGATAAGTGCAACAGCTGCGGCGCAACAAGTGAAACGCATCGAATGCCAAGTTGGCTGCGCACTTCAAGAATGCCAATGCCACATGAACATCAACATCAACATCAGCATCAACATCAACAACACCATTAGCAACATGTTTGCAATTTTGTTGTCTCGCATGTTGCATGCTGCGCCCCAGGCATCACACCCTCTCACATTCCTCTAGGCCCCCTCCACTCTCCACGCCCAATTGTTTGTGATTTACGCAGACTGCGCTGCGCTCGGGCGCACAACATCATTTGCAGCTCATTAATCAGCTGCTGCTGCCACAAGCTTGTCAAGCAGTCGCCGAGCTGTAGCTGAAACTGAGCAGGCTTTTGGTCGTAGGCATGCCGCAACGTGCGGCATAATCGGCTTTGCCTCATACTTAACAAGCCACAAAAAATATGTATATACCATAAATATATTTATACAGAAATTTCGCAAATATTTGCGCCACCCAACAAAACTGATTGAGACTTTTGCACGGTCTTGCTTCTGATCTGATATGCACTGCGATTGCATGAAGACAGGGAGATGAAGGGGTAACCAGGGCGGCAATGTCATGTATAATATCTAGTGTTCAAATGTAATAAAATATGTACTTTCAACAATCCGATAAAATTATTAACTATTCTTGTTCATGCCGCGTCAATGTTATCGACAATAAGCCCTTTATTTATTCTCAGAACAAAAACTAATTATGCTAGGCTTGCCTTACAAAGATACCTCCATTAGAATATTTGGTGGAATGCGGGGTTAAGGGTTTGTTGGAGAAATTTCGGCCCCAACGTCATGCATGAACATCAATTCGAGTGTGTTCACAGTTCACGCCGAATCAACTCCCAAGTGAAACGATTTTTTTGCTGTAAAGAACTTTTTGGAATTTGGAAATTCCACTCGAAACTGTGGAGAATTGGGGGAAACAATTTTATGTAACCTATTAGCAATCACTTCAAACATATTTTCTAAGATCCCTAAAAATATTTGAGTCGCTCTGCAATGGGGGCAAGCCATTATTTGGTGTCAAGTATCGCTTCTAACTTATTTTCATATAGCAAATTTCAAAGCAACTGTGGAAAACAGGTGGAATGATTCAGTTTTGAAACCGTTTTCAAAGATCTTTATAAAAATTGAGTCGAATTTTCACACCTCTCGTTAATTCTACTTCTAAGTGTACGAAGTGGATCACCAATTATTTGGCTTCCAGTTTCGCGAGCGGACTTATTGAATACGTGTTTCAGCGCTGCTGGAAATTCCACCCTAACCTGTGGAATAGGGGCGGAAATTGATTGTGTGCTATCTTCATGCTTACAATGTAATCAACTTTAAACTCATTTTCTAACATCCCTATAAAAATTCATTTTCACTGTTTTCACCAAATGAACGCGTATTTAATTTCCGAATACAAACCGGATCTCTAAAAGGCTACGCACATTTCTGCAAGGGTATATACGGTGTGGAACCTGGAGCAGTAGAGCACCTTTCTGTTTCCATATTTTTCATTTTATGGCAAGCAGCTCTTATCTGGCCATTGTCTTTTATATCTGTCCGCTGATTTAATAAACCATCTGTGTTGCGTTCTCATATGCGCGAAACACTCGAAAAAAATGCGCAACATTATGCAAGTAGCAGAAGAATATTCATTTACCTTAACATACCCTGTAAACAAAAATTGGTTTGGGGGAGGTATATTAAAGTGCAGCAAAGGTATGTGACAGGCATCGATTAAATGTGGAACTGAGGGGAATATATGTGTGGTATATTTTTGGCAAACATATTAATTCTCATAGATAAGTAGTCTTAAAATCGGACACGAAATCCAAATTTCGGAAATAATATTAAAATAAGTATGTTTATATAAAAGATAGATAATTCATAGGAAGTTTATATATATGCTAGCCGATTTAGTATTTAAATACAGGGTATCTGCTATGCTCAGCTAACGCGACAGAAGCCAGCCTCAGCGGTTTGTTGCTTGGGTTTTATGTTGCATGCCTCAGTGGCTTTTATGCTGCAGCAGGCCAAAAGAGCATGCAACGCCGAGTCGTGGCCGGAAACTGTGGCGTCCAACGACGGAAGTGGGCATATTTCAGCAGCAAGAGATAAAACAGGCGTGATGATAACACTTTGAGTGGGTGGGGCCAAGGCTGCTGCAGCAGCAGCAACAGCAGCAGCAGTTGGCAGTTGGCAGTCAGCAGTAACTCCTGCTCGTTACCCACTCGTTCACATTAAGCGCATTTATGCATGCAATTTTTTGATATAACGAGTACTGTGAGTATTACGAGTGAGTATAACGAGTACTCAGTATCTGTATCGCTGATAAGTTTGCAGCCAGGCTTTGATGGCCCGCACATTCAGCTTTTGATGACGCCCCGACCAAGTTTATATATAAAAATTATATACATATATGAATATTGGCAATCAATGCAGCCATTTGGGCATTTATTGCCAAATTGCCATAAGTTGCATTATGAGTTATGGCCCATTGATTTGTGCGCTTTTGTGCATCGCTCTCGTAATCATAATGTTTTAATTTATGATACGCTTTATGCCCCGCAGGGCTTGAGCACTTGCTGCCGCTAAGTTTTGCTCCCGCCTTAAACTTTGCCAATAAGAAATCGTTGAACTGTCGGCTTCTCATCAGAGTGCTGAAAATGCTTGACCTCGAAACATGGATTCATGGAATACCCTACCGAGCAGTGAATTTTTAGTATGGATAGTATGCATAATATGCATAGTATGTATAGTATGTATAGTATGTATAGTATGTATAGTATGTATAGTAGGTAAGGTCATAAGATACATTTTAAAGTCTGAATCGGAAGGTCGCTGGCTCAAACCCTATCAAGCTAATAGCTGCTTAAGAACACAAGTTCGTGCTGGAATTGGCATGGGTTTAAAACTTATTAAATTAAAAAAAAAAACAAACTGCGTTTCAAATAAAATTAATTTAGACGCGTATCTTTCATTTATATAAAATTCCATTTGTGCAGGGTACAAATTGCAACGAAAGGAACTGACAAAAAAAAATGTATATATATATATATATATATATATATATATATATAGAAACGAAAACCAAGCAACTGGGGTCAAAGTTTAATTGTGAGAACGAACATGCGTGGCCGGCGTTTGCAACATAAATCATTCTTTATTTCAAGCCGGTCAGACACACACACACACGCACACACACACACACACGCTTTAATAATGAATGGTGTTGGCCCCGGCGAGCATTAACACCTACCTTTTCGTTGTGGCAAGGCGAGTGCGTGCCACCGAATGTTGCTAACAAATCAAGACTGTTGGGCAACGGAATTGTTTTTCTTTGGCTCGTGTGAGATACACTGTAATTAATTATGGTGTTATTTAATTTAATTGCGTGTGTGGCATTTAGACGCAGTCAGTTGGCAAGTGCGCACAAATGCTTGGCCTATTAGCAGGCGCTGCCTTTAAAATACCCGCTACACACACACGCACACACACACACACACACACACACACCCGAGCGAAGGCCCGCCTGCGGCTAGACAAATGTGTTTTCATGTTTGGCAAGCAGCTCAAGCATTTGTCATGGTGCATTTAGGCCGCATGTGTTTGCCGCTTATGAGTTTGCCGCCAATGATGATGATATAAAAATTATGCTGCCAACCTGCTGTGCACCACTGTGCGTATACGTATTATAAGCTCATTTGTAGCGCTTAGTGCGAGAGTTTAACTTGCATAGAACATACATGAGCTGGGCACAGAAAAACGCTTGAGCATTTTATTGTTGTTCTTGTTGGCATTTTAAGTGAAATCCTCCCGACTGACTGAATAGCTGCTGAAGAGCCTTCACCGCGTCGAATAGTAAATAATGAACATTTAATCAATAATATAAAATAATATTGCATTAACAATTAGATTCAATTAATTATTTAATTTGTAGATAATTTAATTAATAATAGCGAGAGGTTGTCAATTTGTATTATTAATTCATTATCTATTTTAATTGTTATCTGCATTCATTATTCAATTATTGCATAATAAGAAATAAAATTTAGAGCTTCTTTTGGGGCGTCATTTTGAATACTAATTTCTTTAACATTTGCATTATTCATTTGAGCCATGCAAGGCCGGTTAATTTCGTCTAGCCCATAATATTTCAAGCCTGCCTGCGCAGCAAATTTGTGTATATTTATAGGTCGCTGTACCACTTTTTTTCCCATGTCTGTTCACAGTTTGCTTCAATAGAGTCCACAGACAGTGAATAAATTTTTCCAATTGTTTTTGCTGTTTCATTTCTTGTTTTGGCATTTTCGACTCACATGGATCAGTTAACGCTTGGCAAAGTGACAGCTAAACGACAACAACAGCAACAGCAGCCCGCCCGAATAGGGCCAAATCAACACTTTGCTTGAAATCACAGAAACAACAACACTTTTGATGCGGGTCATGTGGAAAATTGGGGTTGCATTTTCCACTAAATGTGTATATATATAAGTATCTATTTTTTTACTCGCATGCTGGCATTTTAAATTAACGCTAATTGAATCAAACCAAAAAATGTTTTCGTTGCCGTCTGTCCGTTTGTCCGTTTGTCAGCCTGTCAGTTAGCCAGTTTAGTCAGCTGTCACATGTGCAAATTTGTTTAATAAGTTTCTGACACGGCCAAAGCCCCATGAATTAGCACTCGACCAAGCCAAACTTGGTCATTAACTATTGAAGGCTCCACCACAGACGTTGCTTAAATTATTATAATTATTGCTGCAACTCGAGAGTTCTTCAATTTCGTTCATCATTAATTTCGGCTCATTAATGATGGCTGGACTATGATAAACATTGTTAAGCTTTTGATTTCGAAAGTAGCTTCACATCCTACCCTTAATACGTGCCGAATAATTGCTTATTGATTAACTGCTTGACTAAATGACGCATGACGCCTGCTTAGTCAGCCTAATTATTATAAATACAATTGTTTACTTAACTTTCGATTTATCTGCTTCAGTTTGCATAGTTCTGTCGCTTCCAATAAAGCTAAAAGCATTTTTAGCTTTATTAAAATATAGTTCCTTTATCTGATCCGATTAATTTCAAATGTAGGTACTGCATATAGCTAAGACTTCACACTCAAATCCAGCTTATAAACTGCTGTCTTTGAACTAAAACTTTTTCATTATTTACCACTTGGTTAAAGCTTTAGTCTAATAGTCCGATTTAGTGTTTGTTCAGTGACTTAGAACTTTCCGATAATAAAATTAATTATTATTTAAGCATTTATTTAGCTGCACTTATTGTGCATATGTCGCATTTGGTTTCATTTAAGTGAAAAGATTTAGTTAATAAATATTTCAATTAAAATGAACATATTTTTGTTAGCATTAAATAACAGACTGCAGAATGTCGGAGTTCGAATACCCTTTTCACAAATAATCAATATGTTTTTTTACCTAGACGTATTTTTTTTTATACAAAAACGAACAATATATAATATCTAAAAAACCACAAAAATGTTCCATACAAACATTATAAATTTGTTTCTTATATTTGTATTTATTTCAAACTAGCTTGAGGGTATTTTTTTTTTATGATTTTCCCCAGGGTATTCTTTTGTTTTAATAATTTGAAAAAAGAAATAGTATGCATGTTATTTCAGTTGTTTATCTGCAGAGTTAGCGGGCCGTGAAATCAACAGTTGAGCTAAAAAAAAAAAAGAAAAAAGAACGTGTTGTGCGCAGTCAACTGTTGAGCCAAAACGTGCAACAATAATTTTATAAACTATTGCGATTTTTTCTTCAGTTGTTGTTGTTGTTGTTGCTTTTGTTGTCAGTTGTTAATTTGTCGCACGCCTAATTAATTTTACACTTTTTTCTTTTCATTTAGTTGTTGTTGTTGTTGTTGTTGTTAGCCAGCCCTTTGGGCCCTTTGGGCTCATAAATATTTAATGCAAAATAATTAACACACCCGCGCGCAGAGGGAGCTGCCCGCCTGGCGGCCAAGGGCATGATTGATTGCCTCCTGCTGCCAGTGGACAATCATAAAATTTTCGTTAATCAAGTTTAATTAATTAAGGCAGACAAAATGGCGTCGCCGGCGCCGGGCGTAATGGCAACGCCATACTGACTGGCATATCCGTGTCAATATTTCCGCTTTTGCCCAGCCGTAAATTATGCAATACTTTTTGCCTGCTGGCAGAAGCAGTTACCGTTAACGTTTCGCCGCGACCATGGGCATGGGCATGGCTGTGGGCGTGGCAGTGTTGCACGTGTCGCCAACGCTTTGGCATCATCAACTTCTGTCAGCTACGTCAGCGACTTTTGGAACAGCGCCAGATCCGTTGACAGTGGCCATAATCTCACGGATTACATTGTTTAATTTAAGCCACGAGCCATCAGCCGCCATCAGCCGCCATCAGCCACTAGCCAAACAGAACAATTACCGTTAGTTCGTTATCATGGGCCCATTGATTTATCATATTTCGTCCGGAGGGTCTCATAACATTAAAACAAATGAAATCCTTTTAAATATGACTTAATGAGTTGTATGTAATGCATTCCAAATGCATATGCTTAACATAATATCAGATGTCCGGATTCAGCCAGCCGACAAAAACAGGAGCGTAGTAGGCGTAGGCGTGCCCGACTAAGAGATACCCTGTAACCGGCGCCGAGCTGCTCTTACATATGTACACACTCGCAAGCCAGCATATTGCAAGCTGAGCCCATGCTATCTATGGGAAATGCAGTCTTGAATAACTTCGGTGCTTATAGTCCGATAAGCGCAAGGCTCTACCTTCGAGAATGATTCTGGAGAGAATAGTTTTCTATTCCGCGGGGAATAGGAGTAGGCATCCAAAAAGTGCGAATCCCTTCGTTCCAAGTTTTTTTTATCTAGCTCTTATAAACTTCGAGCTATGCCAAAAAAACGCAATCTAAATATGAAACTCACCTTTCGATCATGAATTTATATACTTGATGTGGTCATTCGAGCTGTCTACGTCCATTGCACAACGTCAATATACCTCCGTTCATCTATTTTCAATGGGTATAATTAGTCATGCATTTAATAGCATACGCTATCTTCATCATAGTAGCTTGATAACTATGTTTTCTTTCAGTCCAGTTTCAACTATGCGCTCGATTCGATTGATGAAACGCTGTCGGACAAAGAATTAGAAGCTATTTGATTGAGCTGTGTACAGGGTATTGTCCAGCAAGGTACACTCGACTATGACAAACTTTTTAAACTACAAATTTGAAGCAAAATAAGTATACAAATCTGCTTGAATCATTGGCATAGTCAGGCGATCAAAGAATCAGAAAGCTCTCAACATTGCCAGACAAATAATCATTTACCTCCAAATAATATAATTTGGTTTACTTCATTGTTTGTAAAATTTGTACATTCGGTAAATAAGTGAGATAGGCTCAGTTTTCACTCTAACGATAATTGCCCAGCCATGAAAATTATATTGTTAGCTCGAAAAACAATTAACAGTGCAATGCTGCTATTAAAAACGCGTTAAATTTCGATTATATATAATATGCACACATAAATAAGACAGTTATATTGATATAATTATTTAACAAATTCACCCAGTTGTGAAAATGCATTTAGCATTTGTAGTTATTCTCTGCGTTTCGCACCTCTCACAAGTGGTAAAACTTAGAAAGATACCTAAATCTTTTATTAAATAATAAGCATAGACACTTTCTAGTGCGGTGACTCGATGATAGTGTATAGGTCCACAAATATAGAATGCTTTCCCGATCCCGCATTCGCGGTAAACTCGACATGTCGCATAAGGGCCGTTAATTGGAATAAAGCAGTTGCCCAAATGGACTGTGATCTCATTACACCTTTGGCAAACACATCGGTAAGCAGGCAAGAAAAACGTATAGAAACCAGTCTAAAGGGTTCGATGAACACACAGGTGCAATTAGAGCTTTTTAAGAAGAGCGACAACAATCGATATCATCCCTTTCTGGTCAACGTGACCGTGAATATGTGCGATGTCATATCCAAAAGGAATTTCATGCCATACGGAACGATATTTTGGAAAATAATCAAGGAACACACGAATGTGAATCACAGCTGTCCAATTAGGGTAAATTGTTTTAATTTACTTAAAAGTAAATATTATCAAATGTTTATTCGTTTAGCCGGGGCATCTAATAGCAAGAAATCTGTACATTGACGAAAGCTTTCTGCCCAGATTCCCTTTGGGCTTCTATAAAATTTCTATTAAACTCTTAGAAACCTACATGGACCATCCCAAAAGATCCGTTGGCATTATAAAGTATTATTTTCAAGTTAAACAAATGGTCAAAGCAAAGAAAAAGGGACAAGATTAAGTGCTCGACCTTAACTCCTTAATTAATGCTATTTATATAAAGTTATGTTTAGTTTATATACGACTTAGATATATAGAACATTAAATTTAACTACTTTACATACCAAGATCTTCCTTTTGCTTATGCCCAGCATTTGTTCCATTCCGATTAAAGCATATCAAAAGTATGTGTGGTTATTAAGCAAAGCTCAATGAAATGTTATATTCATATAATAATAATATTAGCATAATTATGTACATTGTGTAAGAAAGTGAGGTAGGCTCAGCTTGCACTCTAACAATAATTGCATGGCTCTGAATATCATATTTTTAGCTTGGAAAACAATTAGCAGTGCAATTGTGGCTATTAAAAACTCGTTAAATTTCCATTAAATATTTTTAAATAAAGATATATTTGTAAATACATATGGCACATTTGGCTAATTCAGCCAGTTGTAACTATGCACTTAACATTTGTAGTTATTCTCTGCCTTTCGCACCTCTCGCAAATGGTAAAACCTTGAGGAAATTACTTAAATCTTTTATCAAATAACATGCAAAGATTTTTTATAGAGAGCCAATTCCCAGATAGTGTACAAATCCACAAACATAGAATGCTTTCCCGATCCCGCATTCGCGGTAAACTCGACATGTCGCATAAGGGCGGTTAATTGGAATAAAGCGGTTGCCCAAATGGACTGTGATCTCATTACACCTTTGGCAAACACATCGGTAAGCCTATGAGAGAAACACATGTATAAGCCAGTCTAAAGGGTTCAATGAACACACAGGTGCAAATCGAAGTGTTTAAGAAGAGCGACAACAATCGATATCAACCATTTCTGGTCAACGTGACCGTGAATATGTGCGATGTCATATCCAAAAGAAACTTCATACCGTACGGCACGATGTTTTGGAAAATACTCAAAAAACATACGAATGTTAATCACAGCTGTCCAATAATGGTAAAATGATTAGATTGGCTTGAATAGCTTTTATCAAATATCTATTTCTTTATCCAGCCGGGGCATCTAATCGCAAGAAATCTGTACATTGATAAAAATATTTTGCCCAGATTCCCTTTGGCCTTCTATCAAATTTACCTGAAAGTCATTGAGAACTATGCGGATCGACCCAGCAGAACCGCTGGCGTCATAAAATTCTATGTTCAAGCTAGGGAAATGGTGAAAACAAAAAAGAAAAAGGGAACAAATGAAGCTATATGAATATATGAAGAATTGGAAGAGTGCTCGACCTTAATTCAATCTACACTCAATCATTTATCGAGGCTTGAGGATTGTCATTGTACTCATTTATGTCAAGGATATATTAGGAAAACCTTGAGATGGATACCTTTTTAGTATTAATATGGCATCTAGTATTTTATTGTCAAGGGATTTAACAATTGCTCAAGAACCGGTTTATGTAATCTTATAATTAAAACCATTTAAGAAGTAAACCTTAAGTAAAAGCGATCTTTTGCGAAATGGAAATGCGACTATTCTTTACCTCTGTTCTTAAAATTTAAATAATATTGTTCTTTTATGGGAAAAGTTAATATGAGAGACGCATTAGACAACTTTGTGATTCCTGTTTAAGCGAAAAGCGCTTTGAGCTATAGAAGGGCTGGGCTCTAGCAAAACACGAGCAGATTTTCCTTTAAGACAATTTCTTTGAATAACCTTAGAATTATACCTGGCTTAATATTTATTTATAAGTTAGTTATGTGTGAAATCGACTCTTCTTGGTTGTTGTTCCATGCATAGTTCCAGGTCCTCTGTGTTGATTACAACAGGCATTACAAAGTATTATGCGCAGAGTCTCTACTCTGCCTCGTATAAGTCAAATATTCCGAACTATTTACCAAGTAGGTCTTAGTTTGTATTCGATTTGGACTGCGTTCTGCGTTGCGTTGAGCGGGAGCGATAAATAAACTTTACATAATCAGCTCTTTAAATTTGTATATTATTTTGTAGTATGTTTCCGGATTTCATACGCATTCAGTTTGGCACATAGTCAGACGCAAATTTGTGAAATTAATATAAAATATTATTGCTCAGAAACGCGATATTTTCGCATCATTAAATATTTCGATTAAAAGCACATTAGACGCACATTTAAAACGAAAATCAATTTATCTATATACATAAATATCAGTTGAAATAATTCGAATAGTTGGCAGTTGTCGCAATGAACCTTCCCCTGACTGTCATAATCGTGTGCCTTGTGCTTGTCGGAAGAGTGGTAAAGTGAAATGAGATTTATTCAATGGATTGCTCAAATAATGTGAGCACATTATCTTCTATAGAGCACCGATCCAACGATTGTGTATAAATTGAAAAACATCGAGTGCATCGCCAATCCGAAACGCGTCGAGAACATCTCCTGCTTCATCAAGGCCATCAATTGGAATAAGGCAGTTGCCCAAATGGACTGTGATCTCATTTTGCCATTGCGTAACACATCGGTAAACATAGCTAGGCTTTGTTTATACACAAAAATCAATTTGAAATGAACATAACTCACCTTGCAGATCGAAATCGCAGTGCTCAAAAAGAATTATAACAACCAATATCATCCGTTTCTCATCAATGTTACATTCAATGCGTGCGATATGCTGTCCAGCAGAAAGTACCTGCCCTATGCACCGATTGTGCGTAAAGTAATGAAGATCTATACGAATGTGAATCATACTTGCCCTATCACGGTAAAATCCAGTTAAATAGTCCCAGACTTCGATGCACTGAGACATTTTTTGATCCACAGAATCATCTGATCGCACGGAACTTGAACATTGATGAAACTTTTCTGCCGACTTTTCCTTTAGGCTTTTACGCGTTTTCCATTAAAATAACTGAGAATTTCTCAGAAAGGCCCAGCGACTCCATTGGCCTCATCAAGATTTATTTGCAAGCCATCGAAATGGTCAACATTAAACAAAGAAAGAAACCCAATAATTCAACTATAATTATGCCGAGCATTTAATAATAATAGGGTTTAACAATAAATTGGTATTTAAGACAGAAATAAAGGGATTCACATTTATATTTATACTTTATTTTATTTATGAAATTTTAAATAATGTGATATTGATTGGGCAAGGAGTGAAAGAAGAACCCTTGCATTGGCTCCCAAAATCAAAATCTATATTTATCGATATTCTAAAAGTGGAACGAGAACGAGGGTATTCTGCAGTCGACTACACTCGATTGTCTCTGCCACAAATATATACCATAAGCTCTATTAAAGCATGGAATATGACAATTAGCTATTAATTAGATGATTATCTATGCACGCACACGGATTGCGGACGCCAACACGATGCCAGTCAATGTTTGTTGAAGCGTCGACCGAGCCTGAACTGGACTTGATTTATTCTTCGCATGGCCATTTTCTATTGCTTTCCGGAACCGGAAACGCTATACGAATGCGTGAGTCTCATTAGCCGACTGCAGTTCGCCCTGTGCTGCAGCGGCTTCTTTGAGCGCGGCGGCCGGTTTGTGATGAACAAATGGACGCGCCTCTATTCGCTAAGCTGTGCCTGCCTGGCCGTGCTGGGCCTGGCCGGCACGGTGCACATCCTGCTGCAGAACCAGCTGCTGCGTCAGCGTGTCCTACGGCTGGACAAGCTGGTGCTGAGCATCATGTGCCTGGAGCTGGTCATCTCAACGCTCGTGTTCCTCTTCACAATGCTGTCGCTGCAGGCCTGGGCACAGCGACATTTGCGCATCTACCAGCGGCTGGCCGAGCTGGACAAACAGCTGATCGGGCATTTTGGAGCACGGCTCAACTATGGCAAGCTACTGCGCAAGCACATGCTGGTGCTCTCCATGGTCGCCGTGCTGTACTTTGGGGCTGTGAACACGGGCCTGGCGAGCCTGGCCGAGGGTCGTCAGCTGGGCATTGTGGTGCCCGCCGCTTTGTGTTACCTGATCATAACCAGCGGACCGCATTTGACGGGCTTTGTGCACATGAGCCTGGCCGAGCTGCTTGGCATACGGTTTCGCCTGCTGCAGCAGCTGCTCCAGCCACAGTTGCTCCACAGGCGCTTTGGCGGACAGCCGCAGCTGCTGGAACGACGCGTTTGCAGCCTGGTCGATATGGTCAAAGAGCTGCACTATCTGATACAGGAAATCAATAGGGTCTACAGTCTCAGCTTATGGTCGGCCATGGCGCACGACTTTACGCTCAGCACCAGCGAGCTGTACATCATATTCGGGCGCTCCAACGACAACAACCAGAATAACAACAACAAAGAGCCGGGCGACGATATGGGCCTCATGCTGCTCGGGTTTCTGTCCATCTGCCTGCTGGTGCCCTTCTACAAGATGCTCATTGGGCCAGTCTACTGCAGCCACAGCGTGGACGAGGGACGCAAGTGTCTGCATTTGCTGGAACAGCTGGATGATTGGTTTCCGGACAGTGTTGCCATCAGGCAGCTGGTCGAGTCCATTATGCGCTGGCGTGTGCAGTTCAAAATCGAATTCACCAGCGGCACGAGCACGGCGCTCAACAAGACCGTGATTACGCTGGTGAGTGTGCCGCGTGTCATGGTCCGGCTGGTGCGTCTAAAATTTCCGTACATTTTCAGTACACGTCCATTGTGTTCAACTATTTGCTGGTGCTCATCTCGTTTGCCATGATACAGAAGCTGGGCGAGCAGGTCGAACAGCAGAAAGTCGCATTGCAGGATTGGATAGGCATTTAATGGGTAGAGATGGCCGCTTGCCGTGCGCGGGCCTCGAAATTTATTCGGGAGGCTACGAGAGGCTAGGGTAAAGCCCAGGCACTTCAATCATTGAATACTATCTAAATACCATAGTTAATCTCACTAAATCCTAACCTATCAATATATCGATGAATATATATGTGTATCGCAGTTAATGTCATCCCTATCTCGAATTATCGATATCATTCGGACATAAGCCCCGATAAAAGCAATTGTTATATGGAAATGTTATAAAAAAGTCTAGCACATTTTCTTTAAAGCCGTGCTTGGAGCCCGCGTCCATCCCTCGTCGGTAACGCGTTTTGCTGCCGTGTTGCATATATCATTAGCTAAATTAATTTACGGCTCGTTAACATAGAAACTCCATAAATATGTCAGCGTGCCCCAGCGGACGGGCCGCCCGTTGCAATCAGGCGGGGGCAACAACTGGGTAAAGTCCCGCCTGCTCGTTGAACTGCCTGGACTGCACCCAGGAGGCGGTCGCAGGCTAATGATTATAATGTTTGTCGTTTATTTTATTTGAATTTTATGCAAATTAAGCGAGTCGCTGCCAACCAGCCAGCCAGCCAGCCAGCCGACACCAGGCTTTATCAATGCGGCCAGCAGCCTACAGCTTTATTGAGCAGGTGTGCGGGATTGGGGAGGGCAGTGCCACGCCCACTGCTGACCAGTAAAGTGATGTTGTCGCTGCAGGGCAGCTTCTTCTCTAATTGTGTCTGCCTTTGGCAGTTTCTTCAACTAAATCCGTCCTTTGACAAACGTTTTATACGAAAATATTGCACAATGCATGCAACAAAAAGTGCATGCGAAATTCTTTGTCATGCACTTCCTTTGGCTCATAAAAGTCATGTACTTAGAGCACATTGTATAGAAAGAAATATAACAAATGAAAAACAGAATAGAAAGCAATTTGAGCAAAATTTATCGATGGGTTGCTGCGAGGTCAGGGCAAATTTAAGACCAAAAATGTACGCCCCAAACAAATAATGTTAGCTTAAAATTTGGACTGAAATGCTGAATCAAACTTTATTCAAAATTAAAAGCCATAGAAAAATCGGTTTAAATTTTGGGTTAAACCGTAAGCGATAAGCTGTCAAAAAGTTGTATATATATAGAATTGTTTCACATAATTATTTGGAAGGACAATACGAAAGGAAGAGTCCCACATGAAACTAATGCCTGTTGCCGTTTCTGTTGATCCAAATATCCTTTTTGCCATTATTTCACATACAATTTGCAGCCGAAATAAGCCTAATAAATAGAGCTCATATTCATGTTGGGTGCATGGCATAAATCCAGATAACAAAAGCCGTCGCAATTCGTTGATTTTTGTTATGCGCTGTGCGCAATTATTGGAAAGCTCTTAAAAAAATGAATATTATTGGGTCGTTCAATCGAATATTGTGAATGAGGACAGGATTGTTGTTGTTGTTGTTACTGTTGTGGGGAATTTATTGAGTGGGCGGCTGAGGAGCAGCTGGGCCAAAGGAAACCTCA